AAACAATCCTGGGTAGTTATCGCTACCCTCCCCAGAATGCATCTTGGTGGTAAGTAAAACTAATATTAGGATATATTCCCTAATACTAACATACTTTTTCTCTCTTTTTCTACATACACTCATTATCTCTCTCCCTTTTAACATGATGTCGCTTTATTCAAACATAATTTTCTTTGTCGTCTTTTTACGTAAATAATTTTTTATTTTACAACAATATTTTATAAAATCAACGTCAAAAATTAATAAAAATACAGTAAGAGGTATATGGTGTGTAAATACTACACTGCCACTTATTCAAATCATTTCTAGATTGTATCCTTTCATTTTTTTATTCTTTCCCATTGATGCGATATTGAGTTTTTGAAACAAGTCTTTGTTTAGATTAAATCCTGTAAACAGTTAGGCCATATGATCCCTTTCTGTTGTGTTCACTCTGAGCTCATAATTATCTTCTCCGATTTATACTCTTTTGTATATAATGTTGTTGTCTTGATCGTTTAAAGGGACCTTTTTTCACTTTTAAATATTTTTATGAGCTTTCAAATAATTCTTCGTGAGGGCATCCGTGGTGGGTTTGTTGGACCTACAACAAGGTAAGTGCCGAGATTGAAAAAGAGACTACGAAATAAACTAGTTTTTGTTAAAGATATGCAGTTCAAATCCAAGGCGACAAGTCAGGAGCAACTGTTACGCAGTCAACCTTGAAACCAGACTCAAAGACAGATTATAATACGATGGCTGGTGGTGCTTCATTGTAAGTAGGCATGATGTGAAAGCTATATTTTATTAACCTTCTTTTCATCCATAGTGAAGACTTGGCTAATCTCGTACAAATTTTAAAGGACCAACTTTCCAAGTTACCCACAGAACAACCTCCGGGTAGCGAAGATATCTATGACTTAGATACCTCAATTATTTTTGCCTGCGATGATTTCGAATGGTGCAATGGTAAAAAAAAAAAAAAGGGAAAAGAAAGGGTATTTGTTTGTATTTACATCATTTATTTGTACCAAAATAAGGTGGTCCAGGAGGCTGTGCACAAGGTCAATCGTCTGTAAAAGCAACCGAAGAACAAAAGGAAAAGTTTAAAGAATTGGTAGAGTTATTGAAAGGTGTTGGTCAAAACTTTGCTATTTCAGCCGCGTGATTCTGTTTCAGCCTTTTCTGCTTGTTCCTTTAACTTGGCTAAGCGTTCACGGTTTCGTTTTAATAAAATTCTATTCACATTAGCTTTTTCAATATCTGCCATTTCATGCCAGTTGTTGATTCTACTCATTGTACCATCCTCGTTAATGACTATGCAATGGTAAGCCCACGTATATGTCTATTGTTGTTCATACTTTACCTACTGGGCCAAGTTCTTTTAGTTTGAGTGTATCATTGACACCAATAGTCTGTACTGTTTCTTCTGCAGTTGCTGGTAAAGCAAGAAGAGGTTTCTTTGATTCAGAAGCAGTTGTCATTCTAGCGATTCTAATAAACTGTCTAAATGGTGAAAATGTTGACATAAAAATTAAAAAAAAATAGAATAGACCAGTTTTATATGACCGCAAAGAAAAAAGTTCTAGAAATTACACTTTTTCTCTCATTTTCTTTACAATGACATGAAATAAAAAATTAAACTATGTATTTTACTAAAGCCTTTAGAGAGAAAGGAAAATATGACTATATTATAATATAGCAAGTAAAGCTACATTCTATAGTTTTTATAGTACAACCTCCCCTGAATTGTCATGTCTAAACCAAGGTCTCTCCTAATAAAAAGGAAACTTTTTATATATGTTAAAGTATAATGAATTAAGGTTGCTAATATTATTGTATCTGTAAGAAAATGCGCTTAGCTTTTGTTTGAACAAAGGAGTACCAGAACAAGTTACACTAACAACTTTTATGCAGCGCAATATTTACCAAGATAAAGTGATTGTCCTATGATGTTTTTTTATTATAATTGTATTTCTTTAAAATGAGGCATATCATTCATAATCTCATGTAAAGCATTTGTGGGCTATCGAGATATAGTGTTTATATACAACAGTAAGAGAAAACAGCCAGAAAAAAGAGTCTTTTGTTTATTAATATACTTTCACTCTGTTTGTAATGCTGCCGTTAATTCCTCCTTTGAGGGGGCTAAATCTAATTTGTCAAATCTTCTTGTATCATAGAAAGTCGCTGATACAATTCTTCCATCAAAATATCTACCATTCAAGTCTTGGACAGCCCTTTTTGCTGCTTCTATGTCTGTAAACTTTACAAATATACGAACAGCTTTATCATCAGGTACTTTTCCACGAGGTACCTTTTCTCAATTGTTAATAAATGAAAGCAATCTAGCAAAGTCTAAGCTTACTTCAAATATCAAGCATCTTTCCACTTTGCCATACTTTGAGCACTCTTCTGCTGTTTCTACTTGTAGCATGTCATCTACTTCGCCTGGTCCAACCATATTTGTTAGCATGACAGTCCTCGTCATTTTTTCTTTCACTTCCTTCTTTCCAGGAATATTCACTGCTTTTTGTGTAGAACTATCGATAATGACACCGTTACCATGTCCAATAGGTTTCACTTGTAGAGCCTCTTTTATGCCTTCTCCTTCTTTACCAAGTCCTTTATATATGTCAGAACTTTATCATCTTTATTTAATCTAGACCTCACCTTGACCTTCTTGCCAACCATATTTTGCTAATACTTTCCTTGCAATGTTTTGAACTGTAGCTAGTCTTGCATCATCTGGTCTGAGATTTCTTTTTAATAACTGTCTAATTCATTATTTATGGCTTACTTTGATTGTGGTAACTCTATAGGCGACTGTGGCTCTCTATGCATTTGTTGTTGCTGCTGTTGTTGACTGAGCATCAATCTTCGTTTATAAACGTCCTCTGCTGTTTCATTTAGATCTATCTTTGCTGGTGATGTGGAGGGTAGAGGTACAAAAGATTGGTTGTATGCTGACAAACTTGTTCCACGATATTTAGGTACTGTATTCATACATGAATCAATGATAAGTGTAACCTATACCCTGAGTGTTTCCTCTTACCTTGTGAGCTTGGTGTTGGGGAAGGAGTTCGAGATTTTGATCGTGAACGAGAATATGAACGGGAATATGAACGAGAATATGAACGAGCATAAGAAGGTGACCTTGACCTTGACCTTGACCGAGATCTTGACAAGGATAGATTAGATCGTTGTGCCTGTTTTTTTTCCCAGTCTCTTTGCCTCTTTTGCCTTTCGCGAAGATCTTTACGTTCTTCTTTATATTGCTCATAGTCATTAGGACGATGTGGGTCATAGTCTTCCAGCATGTTGAATACAATAGGTTGAGGTTGATTGTTGGTCATATTCTTCTTCTTTCCCTTTTTCTAACCGTTGTTGTGAATAATTTCCGCATTACAATTGCTCTCCATTGTTGTCAGTATTTTTTTTACCTTTGGTTTTTGAATAGAACGAAATCCATTCACGTCATCAGGCGTCGATAAAAGAGGGATCGCACCTAGATCAATAGTACTTGTTGCTTTTGTCTCTTGCTGAACAATGGTATTGTCAAGTGCTTTATCTGTCTTTTCTTTGTTTACTGTTTCCACTGATACTATAGTAGCTCCAGCTGGAATAACTGATCTGTTTATTTTCGGCTTTGCTTGAATAGTAGGCCGACGTAAAACAGGCCTGAATTTGTTGATAGCTGACCAGCCTAATTTTAATGTCGAATTAGAATCAGTCCTTCTATTCCTTATCAATTTACCTTGAGGAGTAGGATGAGCTGTAACTGGTACAACTGGTACTGGTACTATCGGCGCTGTTGGTGCTTCTGTAAAAGATGTGTTTACAGCAGTAGCAGTAGTGGCAACAGAAGAGGAAGAAGAGGTAGAAACCTGGTTAGTCTCAGGAGGAGGTAAAGATGAATAGAGTGAATATAGTGATGAGCTTTGAGCATCTTGTCTTTGTTTAGCCGCTTCATCTTTCTTTTCAGTCTTTGAAGGTGGAAGAGAACCGTACAGGGAAAAAGACATATTATCAAGAAGGAAAAGAAAAAGGAAAATACAAGTTTAAACGCAGAACAGACAGAGAAAGCCTTGTACCAAAGATGGTCCATTACTTTATTGAAAGGCATATAAACAATTTTAGTCAAAACGAACCGACTATCCAATCAGAGAAAGGACACATCGAATCTCGATATCATAAAGAAGTAAAGCAAAGTAAGCAATAGTGTTTCTTTTCTCTTCTTTCTTTTTGCCTTTTTAAACGAAAGCCACATTTTTTCAAGTGACAAAAATAGTATAAATTTCATTAAAAACTACGCTTTTCTTTTTCTTTGCATAAGTTGATTTGAGAGACAATGAGTGATACTGAACGTTCTGGGCCATCGATGGACGATGAGCTTTCACTTCCCAAAGGTAAAATGAATATGACATATATCGACGCTTATATATAACATTTAATAGCTACTGTACAAAAGTTGATTAACGAAATGATGCCAGAAGATATTGTCTGTGCAAAGGATACACGAGATCTATTGATTGATTGCTGTGTTGGTAAGATTAGAGCTAGTCACAGGATCGTTCTATTCATGTTCTAATGACTATATCCTTAGAGTTTATACACTTGATTGCATCAGAAGCGAATGAAATATGTGAAAAAGAGACGAAAAAGACAATTGCTGGAGAGCATGTCGTGGCAGCTTTACAGACTCTAGGTTTTGAAGAATACGTTGAAGAAGTAGAAGAAGTGTTTAAAGAACATAAAAAACAGCAAAAGGTAGGATATTAAATCAAAAGGATCTAAAAACGATACTAAGCTTCGATTAGGATCGAGATAAAAAGAGTACAAGACTAGAGAACACAGGCATATCTGAAGAAGAGTTGCTAAGACAACAAGAGTTACTATTTGCTCAGTCAAGACTTAAGTTTGAAGCACAGCAACAGTAATACTAATCTCTTTTTTTTTCTTCTTATCTTTATATCTCTCCCTTCTCTCTCCTCTTTTGTGTGTACAGTTTATATAAAAAGATGATTGCTGATCCTTTTTTTGTGTGTGTCTTTATTCAAATCAATGTAGAAACACCACTCCTTCAACATCACACAGCTAAACTTATAATTATTTAAAAAGATACAAAAAGAACCGTTAAACTGTTACAATGTATTCCACAACAACCATAAGCATCGGGAGGCAGTAGAGTACAGTGCATCCACTCTCAAATCGAATATTTTTTGAACTTAGTGGTACATTTTTCGAAAATAAAATGGAACATTTAACCAATTAACTTGGAACTTAAGTTGGAGCACACTGTGAACCCAATCTGAACACTTTGAAATTAATATGGAACATTTTATTTAAATAGAGATTTTGTTTAAGCAGTTTTGGAAATGATTTTTAGAGTGTTGAGTAATGTTGACAAGGTGAGATAAAGAGACATCATTACATGCTTCAGTTATTCTTTGTGCGAGTGTTTCAGACTCATAAGTTGATTACGCTTTACTTTATGCTTAACTATTGTACATTTATTAATTTTTGACGTTGATTTTATAAAATATTGTTGTAAAATAAAAAATTATTTACGTACAAAGACGACAAAGAAAATTATGTTTGAATAAAGCGACATCATGTTAAAAGGGAGAGAGATAATGAGTGTATGTAGAAAAAGAGAGAAAAAGTATGTTAGTATTAGGGAATATATCCTAATATTAGTTTTACTTACCACCAAGATGCATTCTGGGGAGGGTAGCGATAACTACCCAGGATTGTTTAAACAAACAAAAAAAGGAACGGAGGATAGAGAGAACCCAGGGCGTCAGAAGAGACTATTGGGGAACGTTCCAGATACGCGCCAGAGAGCAGAGAGGGCGGGACAAGCGACTCAGAGCAAGGACCATGAGGACAGGCTAGTTTTGATTTGTGAATCTTTGAACACTCAGAGGGACATTTGATAACTGCTGTAAAGAAGTAAAAAAAGGACTCTTTTCCAAACAAGTTTCAGGATCGAGTACTTGAGACAAAGAAATCATATCAAATAGGAGCAATCTGCTTCGTGACCATTCAAGAATATGCATTGCCAGACATGACTACATGGAAAAACCGAAAAAAGAATTTAAACTTTTACAAAGAGATTAAAGAGGGCTATTCCAATATCAAGTTAATTGCAACTCCAAGGCAGCTCACCTATTAATATTACTGTCAAATGGGATAATGAGTCATATTCTTTTTGTATTTGTTATTACTCTGGTAACATTACAATGGTTTCAATACGACATCTCAATTTGGAAATACAGTATATCCATGGATTTCAAGGCTGGTACTACGAAAATATCCTTGGTGACGACAAGTTTACATTTCGTACAGCATGAATTTTGTTCTCACCATTAGATGCATTTATTTTCGATCACAGGCGAATTTACTTTCCGGAAAGAGTGTATAGCCCAGAATTGTTCAATTGGATTCAATTCTAGAGAGTATGGAAGAAGATATACGCATTTATAGTCTTTATTTCTATTCTCCATCATATGGTTTACTTCACTCAATGAAGGGATCGGAACATTATCCATGATAAGATAGAAGCCTCTTATTTCAGGATATCTGTCCATGATGCCCAATGTCTCTCTGATAAAATTAAGATATGGCCAGTTGTTGTACCTTTCGTTTGAGGGGCTTTGGATAGGGCAGCTTCTCTTTTTTTTTTACCACCTTGGATCTTAATTTTTTTTAGGAGGCAGAAGTACTCTCATAGCTATATTAACAACACTTATGACCGATATTGCTCTAATAACAGTATGTGATACTGCTTTGGTACCCTTTCTAGACCATGTTCTACTGCGTCTCATATTTATGTCGAAATTGTACTCGTCAATAAAAACACAGTTTCTTGTAAAGTCCATGTCTGTGTCCATCCATACTTGTGCCCACTTCAATCTTTTTTCTAATTTTTTTTTTTTTTTTTTTTTTTTTCATCGCTATGAGGGCCTGGATGCAATGCGGCAACTTTTAAAGAGAGATTACATCCGTCCTTCATAAACTCATAGACTCTAGACTTCTTAATAACAAGCCCTTCAAAAGCTGCTGTCAAACTTTCTACAGCATTAGCTATAACAGCAGATGGATTTTTATCAAAAATCAACCAAATGTCGTTTGTGCGGTTCTGAAGCTTAGAGGTGGGCCTGCTACTACGGTTGGACTTTTTTTTTCCATTTCATAACTATCAGGGTCGCTTAGGTACTTCTGATACTAGTTATTTGCTGTACTATGGCTCACATTGGCTCTGGAAGCCGCAGCATGAACGGATAGGCCTTTTTGTAGCCTCTAATAAAAAAGCAATCCACGAGTAGTTCCATAGTGCAAAATATATTTCTGCCCTTTATCTGAGCCAGTATCTCTTATGCTATTACTAATACCAGTTTCTATACTGTTGTTTTCAGACATTTTGACGTCCAAAGGTTTGTTTTTCAGATACTACTCGAAATCTGTCAGTTTATTCAAATTGTAAGGATTGCCTTCAATCTCGAAATCCATAGCTTCAGTTCTATTTTCGTTCGTAATGTTACAGGAACCGTCTTCACGTAAAAAAAAATAAGCTCATTATGAATTATGAAAAGTAAAAATAAAGATATACAGACTTAAGTTCACAGTTTGCGGTGATATAGAAAACTAATATGTATTCCTGTTGCACGAATTTTGAAGTCGGGTCACTGTCAAGAAATTTAGGCGGTTGTCCCTAAGAGCTTCGATATATTTTTAATCTATGACCTCACTTTATTACGTTGACTTAAAAAAGAAATACTGATTTTTTTTTCACCCATGTTCTTCTTTGGATAAGTGGAATATCTACTCTTACATTTTTTTAACCAACCACTACACCTAACTTATCGGACGGGAGAGCCACACCAACCAACTTAGTTGAGTTGGAGCTCTTTGCGAGATCTGTTGGGCTTTCGCTTTTTTTGTCCGTTGGTGTTGACCCCGACTCAGCCATCCCATATCAAGCGAGCGTTGAAGTGAATCTTTTATTTTTATTTTACAAGAAGCTTCAAAATTACTAATTCAACTCTTCCCCACCTCTGGGGAAGATGCTCAAAATTGTTAAATTGTTAGTGATCCATCGACTGTGTTCAAATCATTACCAACAAACCCTTCTCTGAATAACATTGCATGTAGGAGACTAACCTCATCTTACAAACAATGGCTGTATTCTTTTTTTTTTTCGTTTAAACATGACATTTTATTGATGGTCCAAATGAGCGCAAAAATAAAATAAACGTCCGCTCGGACCCGTTCAATCCGTTTGGAAGTGTATGTTAGCGAAAAAAACCCCTTATGGATACAAGGGTAAAAAATGTAAACGGAAATTAATGAGTAGGGTTATCGATGTAAAGTTAAATGAATTGCTTTAACCATACAAGAAGCTTTTGACCATGGCAATGCTTAGTAGAGATCAATTTGTTATAGTGTAGCTGATCTAATTCATTTAGTAGAGAGCATATGATCGACTATCGTTGAGACCAGATGAGGGCTAGGTTTGGGGAACCGAAGGGCGTAAAGGAAGCATATTCAGAAGGAATGACAGTGAATCTCGTATAGTTTCAGGCATGAACAGCGTCGATGCATATCAAGGCAACTAATAGCGTGGTTCTTAGATAGCTGTTGCGTTGGGTGCTTAGCGGTTGCGGTTTGCCACCAGGAAGCCAGCCTAGTCTCCAGCGTATACAGCGACTGCGCTCTGACTTAGACATGGGCAACCAGAGTATAGGATCCAGAGAGATTGATCGATGGCAGCTAGAAAACAATTTGGAGTTTCGGCATCGTTGGCGGATCTCTAGATTCTGTTGCAAAAAACACCGTTTAGCAGCCTTGAGTGAGTGAGTATCGGGTTCTTCAGTAGTAGACAGCGCCGTTTACCAAAGCGATGTACGAGAGAGAGCGTACCACTGGCTTCCTCTAGTATTGCAGATATAAGGTAACAGACAAGCAAGCAGTGCATCTTCTGGCAAATATAAGGAACTGTTACGGCGTGTAATATATATATTATCGCCGTTACATTTAGTTGAAGATGGATACTACCTTACCACATGTGATCATAGCAAGATATCAACTATGAAATTACATAAATACTGCATTTTTAAATAAAATAAAAAGGAGAGAGCTTTTTCTTTGGTACAGAAATTGGTCATTACTTGCAAAAACACTAGAAGATTCGAACCCTTTCTATTCACATAAGAATTAATCTTATCAGTAGCATTCCAAAAGTTGACTTTTCCCCTGCAATGACCACTAAAGGGCCTATGTCTCCCTTAAAAACAAGCATATAATATTTAATTTATCATATTACGACTGTCTTCTTCTTTTGTAAATCAACATCTTTCATACAACTTGCGTGTTTAACTACATATCAAATAAGGATAAGGATCATGGGTACATGAAAATGAAGAGCTCACATAAATAAGTCGTGGTTTTAGTATAGCACAATTCTTTATGATTATATCTGAAGTAGGCTACAAATAAAACATTCAAACACTGATAAGCAAGAAGCTTATTTCTTTTATCAATTCATTTTCGAAAAGGTCTACAAGGGGCGAGGCGGTACAATATAGTACGGAACTAGAATCCCCTAGAGAATGGGGAAAATAAATTAAGCGTACAAGAGAGACAAATTATTTACTCCATTTGAAAGAATAGAATTAGTCACTGCAGGCTGATCTTAATTCTACTGTATTTCATGATTATAGTTTCTGTGTATCTAATACAAACCTTTATTTGTGTTGTGTTAACAAGTAAAGTATCCTTGACGGTATTAATTATTGGATCGACAAAGTAAAGGCTATAACAGATTCCCTTCTAGGGCTTATTGAGTAGTTCCTCTGCTATTTTATCTCCATATAAGGCTTATTTTTCTCCATTTCATGCATTCATGTATTTATATTCTTTTTCATGGTTATAAAAATCCCTTTTCTTCACCGCCCAATAAATTACATATTTGAAAATACCTTTCACTCACGATATGCGAGTATCCATGACAATAAAGTCATCAAGTGAAGTATGTCACGTACCTTAGCAGGCCATTCTGTTTCGAGCGCCATTTGAAATAGTTTATGCAGACTTAGAAGATCCATTGCTTTACTATAAAAGTGAACGTATAGTCATTAAATCTCTCACAATTATAATCGTCGCCAATTTTGGTCTACACTTCACAAGCAGAAGAGAAAAGGATAAGGTCATAACAACAGAAAAGAGAGGATAAACATTTTACCTTTTTTTTTCATGTGCACTAAAAATAAAAATAAAAACATTACAAACCCTTATGCTTCCCTAAGTCAGCAACTCAATCGCCTATGTTTCATACTTGATAAACAGGTTTTGATACATAAGGGTTAGGACGATTTGTTTTTGGTTCTTTTTAGCAAAAAATAGTAATTCATTATTACTTTTATGAAACAAACTAGAGTGGCTAACCAAATAGATCAATCATGATTGATTTTCTTTCTTTGATTGACAAATAACAACTGTAATGGAATCAATTGCATGTGTTCCACAGAATCGGCAGCCTAGTGCTCTTTGAGAAAAGCCTTATTTTTTGTTTACTATCAGCTGCATCTTTAAAGATGCCGTCCCCTCTCAACTTTTTTCCTTGTATATTTAATTCTCACCTTACTTTTTTTTTTTTTTTACTCATTCTTAAAGAAAACGACCAGAAAAATAGGAAAACGCGTATTGAAAATAAGAAAAGTGAAGCAATCATAATATAAAAAAAATTATGTGTGTGTGCGTGAGGTCAACTTTATGTAAACAAGCGGCCTTACAAAAGAAAAGGGCCTGTGAAAAAAATATGCAAAAAAAAGGGAGGAGGCGTTCGGATGCTCGGATGTGTTCTAATATGGAAGAGATAAAGAACAAACTATTTATTTATTCATACTTTATTGGAGAAATGAGGAATGAGTCATTTATTTTCAGCCTAAATAACGTGATTCACTTAAACAAAAAGCTATAAAAGAGACCATCATTCTTTTCCTTTTTCCTTTTTTTCTTCATCCTTTATCTCTTTTAAAAATTCTCATATGCTTTTATTGTTTCCTATGTTGAAAAGGGTACAATGTCATTTTGGAGGCGATCCCAAAGTACATATAACTAATGTCATCCTTTAGAAAATACATTTTTGCTGGCTCTATTTCATGGTTCCTGATGCATCTTACTCTATCATAATGACCTCTCATGGGGTGAAGCCTTAAAAGAATCTCTGTTGCTCGCTAATACTCCAAAGGTGCTTGCTACTGCTTATCAATGCAATCAAACAAATACTCAAATACCTACTCATGCTTATCAATGTCTACAAATGATCATCAGTGCCTGAAAATGCTAGTGAATGCCTGTCCCATGCTTATCAACGTCGGAAAGCCCCTAAAGGATTTTGCTCACGTCTATCAATGTCTGCTACTAATGAATACTGCTTTGGAGTAACTACATATTCAAGTCCTGAAGCCACAAGAAACATAATCAATAAATCTACTTTGCCGCTATCCGCCAAACTCTATCAAACTCTGCTACAAGAAAAGAAGAAGAAAAAACAAAAAAAAACTAACCAGACAGGTCGCACTTCTTTACACTGGATCACCCCGAAATGCTCCTATTGTTATGGCTCTGCCTCTACAGCTGATGAATCGCCCGTAAACCCTCCCTTGCTGCTGAGCTCGATGGTTGCGATGCTCCAAAGGTTCAATATTCCGATGTCTCCACGGTCATCACCCCTTTCGAAACGCTTCGTCCTAGGTACTTAGAAGTGCACTCTTTGTACGTTGAAGCACCTCTTTCGTTGAACTTACCGTGGTATGGTTTTGAGATTGAGTTTTTATTTTTGAGTTTTGAGCCTTGAGTGCTCCTTATTCATGGAGGGTTTACACCGTGTAGTCTTCTGGCATGCAGTCTATGGTTCTAGTCATCTTGGGTTTGAAAGCTAGCGATAATGTGGCCTTCTGGACTTATGGAAAGAAAGAAAGAAAAAATCTCTATTTGCTCTCTTAACTTGGCTATCAAAAAGAAAATCTCTACTAATCCAAAACTCACTCCCTCTCTTTGGAAATCAAACTATTGCTTACTTTAATAAAAACTTCATTCTGTTACTCCTATACTTTGGCTTTTTGTTTAATCTTGATAAAATATATTCGCTTGACGCACTTTTCTTTATCTCTGATAATCCAAGGAAACAGCAGCTTAATGATTACTTCATGTGCATCACTATGGAGTAGCTTGTAGCAACAATCACTATATAATCTCACATAGATAGTCCTCATCAGTGGCATTAGAGTCATCTCACATGTTCTCAGAGGACAAAATATAGGCTGAGAAAATAATAGTGTTGGCCTTCTCGGACGTGGATTGTTGCTGGTTGTTTTCATTATTGTGTGATGCATGCTGGTGTTTATCAACGAGATGATCTTGGGCTGAGAAGCCCTTTTCGTAAACTGGAAGCTTGTAGCTGAAATAGCGCCTCTGGTCGACGATATGGGTTTGTAATTCCGTAACCTAACGCCATAGGGCCTCTTTTGTCCGATTGAGGGAGTCAAGTCAGCATTTGGTCAGCTTTAAGCTTTTTTTTTCTTGTGGTAGTGCATTTTTCATCAGATTTATAATTCTGTTTTTAGAGCGTAACAAATTCTTCACGATTTTATACTCGCTATTATACAGCAAAAAAGAATAAAATAAAATTGATTGATCTAAAAAACGCAATATCACCTTATTCTCAAGATTGTACCACGATTAGGGATGATTTAAAGTATTAACGAAAGATTGTATTTCTTCAAGCTATATGGAGTTTGCCAGTGTGCATAGCACGAGTAAACATGCACTCTATGTAACCAGTTCTATCTGCTGTGTCCAGCGTTAAAATTCTAAGAGTAAGATAAATCAATGGCAGACAATGTAAATTCTTTGTTGAAAAGATGAGCAAATATTATTAAGTATGATCTGAATAAGAGAGAATTAGTGTTGTCAATGTCATTAAAATCAGTATTATATATCATTTTCAAATACATATAAAGAAATAGAAAATTGAATATGCTGTTAGTTTACTAGGATTATTTCATTAAACACGTCAGGTGCCATTCCTACCGTCTATGTCAACTGGATCGATAGGAAGTTCCAAGATGTAAATCAAAATGGCTTTATTTATTCTTATATCCCTGACTTATTACTGTAAGCATTCGGTGACAGATATCTCCTTTGCTTTCATTTGCTTGAGACAACTCCATTATCGTTTTAGTCAGAATCAAATCATCCTTCTGACAAACCTAATGCTGAGAACAACCGCCCGAAAATGTCCAACATGGTATTGTTGTTAGACCGTGTTGGTTTGCAGTAGAATTTTTTTTTCACACCTTATAAATACAGTCTACTTGTTGACTGTTGAACTAAAAGAAAAAAAAGCTGCTTAGAAGATGTATATTTATACTTTTACAAAGATAAACAAAACTCAGACGAACGACATTGTGTTATTTGCTGTAATAAAGTAATGTGAAAGCCTAGAAATAAGTGAAAATTAAAAGTTTCGTTAATATAATTGCTGCAACTTAAGAATATGAAGCTGGCTTTATTTAATCAACTTTTATACAAGTGAAATATTTAATTGTGCCAATAAAAAATAAGAGATTAACTGTAATTAATACATTTAAATACTCTATGCTTAATCCTTATCAGAGCTTTAATGAGTGAGAGCGCTTTCCATGATAGGCCAACATACACATATGTATGTAGATTAAAATCTCATGCCCAAATTTACCCAGACAAATCAATCGATATCCCTGATCGGAGTTTATTTAATTCGATTTATAAAACTCAGTTCTCGTGTTTTCAAAGTAAATTAAACTTTTCTTTCTCCACCCCTTCATTTAGTTATACATGACTTCCAGCAATTTAGACTTGGTGCAAGTCTACACCAAAGGAGTCAAGGCCTGGTTTCCTGATGATACTCTCGGTTGGACCTCAGCTACTGTTGTTTCGAAAGAAGAACAAGCAGAGTTTATCAAAATTATCTTTCAAGATGACAATGACTCTGAAAAGGTAAGACCTTTAAACCTCTTTTGTGAATTTACTAACACTGCTTATAACCAGCAACATGTATTTGAATCCAAAAAAAGCGAACTTCCCCAAGCTACACTTCCTCCACTTCGCAATCCGCCAAAAATGGAAAACACAGACGACTTGACAAACCTTAGTTACTTGAACGAACCTTCAGGTACACAAAAACTTGTAGCAAAAATAATAGAAGCTGACTCAATAACAAATTGACAGTGCTCCATACTATTAAAACCCGATATGATCAGCACCATATCTATACATACTCTGGTATCGTCCTAATCGCTGCTAATCCATTCGCACGAGTATCGCTTTATGATCCTGAGATGATTCAAAAATACTCTGGCAGTCGAAGAGAAGACCTCGAACCTCACTTGTTTGCTATTGCCGAAGACGCCTATCGATGCATGATTCGTGATAACAAGAACCAAACGATTATTGTATCAGGAGAAAGGTAAAGAGGGAGTGTTTTTTTTGTATTTCTTGTCATAGTCAAAGAACCATCTCCTTAATTTTTTTTTTCCCTTCTCCTTTTATGATAGTGGTGCTGGTAAGACAGTAAGTGCAAAGTATATTATGCGATATTTTGCAACAGCCGATGATACGTCAAGCGCTGGTGTAGAATCAATGACAGAGGTCGAAAAACAGATTTTAGGTAACCATAGAACATAGTCTATCTTCAAAATGCTCACTCCTTTTCATTTACCTTAATAGCCACCAATCCCATTATGGAAGCATTTGGTAACGCTAAGACAACCAGAAATGATAACTCATCTCGTTTTGGTAAATATATCGAAATCGAGTTTGATCATCAACGAAACATCGTTGGTGCCAAAATCAGGACTTATTTGCTGGAACGATCTCGTCTCATTTTCCAACCTGCCACTGAACGAAATTATCACATCTTTTACCAGGTAATTTAATAATAGCAAACAGGACTAGAAAAGGAGAATTTTCATTAATGCGCTTTACCAGTTGTGTGCAGGAGCTAGTGATACTGAAAAGAAGGAGTTGGCCCTTAAAGAGTGGTCAGAGTTCCACTATTTGAATCAAAGTGGCACAGGTGTTATTCCTTCTGTAGATGATGCACAGGAATTTCAAGAGACCAAGAATGCGTTGGTAACGATTGGTGTCCCACCCGAGGTTCAAGCAGATATCTTTCGATTACTCGCCGCTTTACTTCATCTAGGTGATATCGAAATTGGAGGCCGTACAGATGCAAGTGTTGCTGATGATGAACCTTCACTGCTCAAGGCCACTCAACTTCTCGGCCTAGACACGATGGAATTTAGAAAGTGGATCCTTCGTAAACAGATCGTAACACGTTCCGAAAAGATTGTCAGCAACCTCTCAGTCACACAGTCTCAAGTTGTTAGAGATTCCGTGGCCAAGTTCATCTATGCCAATCTTTTTGACTGGCTCGTCACCTTAATTAACAAGAGCTTATCGTGCCCTCAGACTGATCTAATTGCCAACTTTATTGGTGTGTTGGATATTTACGGCTTTGAACATTTCCAAAAGAACTCATTTGAACAGTTCTGTATCAACTATGCCAATGAAAAGCTTCAGCAACAGTTCAATCAACATGTCTTCAAGTTGGAACAGGAAGAGTACGTCAAGGAGCAGATTGACTGGAAGTTTATCTCGTTTAGTGACAATCAAAAGTGTATCGAGCTGATCGAATCCAAGATGGGTATTCTTTCACTTCTGGATGAAGTAAGTAAATATCTGACAGTTTTGATTGAGTACTAACGCGATGATATAGGAATCACGATTACCTTCTGGCACAGATCAAGGATTCTGTAACAAGTTGTATCAAACATTCAAGACAGATTACCAAGACTATTTCAAGAAACCTAGATTCTCAAATAACGCCTTTACTGTCGCACACTATGCTCATGATGTACAATACGAAGCTGAGGGATTTTTGGATAAGAACAAGGACACTGTTCCTGACGAATTACTCAATCTGCTTCAAGCATCTCAGTTCACTTTCCTTTCAGACATGCTTCAGCCTACCACTGCACCATCCACACCAACAACGGAACAACCACCTGTCCGAAAATCAATGAACCAAGCCAAGAAACCGACACTAGGCTCAATCTTTAAGCTTTCACTCATCAATTTGATGGACACAATTGGTGAAACTAATGTTCATTATATTCGATGTATTAAGCCTAATGAAGCCAAGGCAGCATGGGAGTTTGATCCCAACATGGTCCTTTCTCAGCTTCGTGCTTGTGGTGTCTTGGAAACAATTCGTATCAGTTGTGAAGGTTATCCTACAAGATGGACCTTCCAAGACTTTGCCGATAGGTAAATGCAAACAGTGAGGGTATACATATAAAGCTAACACGACCACGGTAGATACTATGCACTCATTCCCTACTCTTACTGGGATCCTAAGAGTAACCCTGACGTGAAGCAAATTTGCCGTGTTATTCTGGATACACATGTGAATGATACCAATAAATACCAAATTGGTCTTAGCAAGATCTTTTTCCGTGCTGGCCAGGTAAACAAAGCAGTCTAAACCTAAATAATAGGACACTAATAGACTCGAATAGCTTGCATATATGGAAAAACTGAGATCAGACAAATTGAATATGTGCGCCACAGCTATACAGAAGCATGCACGTCGATATCTTGCTCGTCTTCATTATATGCGTGTGAGAAAGCTTGTACTGATGTTACAGAGTGTTGCACGTCGTGAGCTAGGCAAGCAAAAATTAGAACTGTTGCGTCAAGAGCATGCAGCGACGGTGATTCAAACAAATTGGAGAAGATATATCGCTCGCAAACGATATTTGAAGATCAGAGGATTTATTGTTCAGCTTGAAGCTGTATGCCGCGGCTGGGTCGCTAGAAAGCGCCATCAAGTATTAAAGAAGGAGCATGCGGCAATTATGATTCAAAAGATGGCACGAGGATGGATAGCACGTAAACGATACCAGGCGATACGACAGTATGTGATCAGTATCCAAACATGTATTCGAAGACGTCAGGCACGTAAGCAATTAGTGATGCTACGAGCGGAGGCAAGATCAGTGAGTCACTTGAAAGAAGCATCATACAAGTTAGAATCGAGAGTAGTAGATTTAATTGCCAACCTGACACAACAAAGAGAAGAAAAGTCTAAATTAAAACTTCAAGCGATTGAAATAGAAAACCGTATCAAGAACTGGATACAAACCTATGACAAGGTAGATCAAAGAGCCAAGTCATTAGAACAAAACTTTGGCAAACAAGATGAACTTGAAGATTCAAAATGGAAAGAACTCAAGAAGAAAAGAGAAGCACTTCAGAATGAATATATTAGTACACTAAATAAGATCAAGGGACAAGATAAGGAATTGATGAGATTAAAAGAAGAATTACTTCATCAAAAGGATGATGTAGCCAAGTTAAAGATTGCGACAAAAAAGACAAATGAGACTGATATCATTGAGCTGAAGAATCAAATATCAGCCTTAAAAGCAGCCACAGAATATAAATTATTTGTGCAATAAAAGGAGGAAAATTGATTATTATTTTTATTATTATTTTATTATCGTAGTACTTGTATCAAAAGAGGAAGGGTATTTTAAGATGACTTGTTTAATAATTTGGATTCTAATACATCTATCCTATCAAAAAGTTGAACCAGCAAATCTTTTTTAGTTGTAGCAGATGTATGAGAAGTAGGAGAATGAATAGGGGAAGGTATGACTCTTGTATTTAATCTTGTTTCCAATCTTGATATTCTTTCAGCACATTCATTTAGGCAATGCTCTAGCCTTTGATTTAATGATTGATTGACATGTTTACGTACAAGGGATTCAATTAAATCAGAAGAGGATTGAAGTGTTTGTATCAAATTGGAAGACTTCCTTATTTCATCATCCAAGGTTGATTTCAATTCTTTGACTTGTTGGAGGTTATCATAAAGATACTCAAATGGTTGTAAAAAGAGTTGCTTTCTTGATGATGATGACGACGATGATGATGCAGAGGTTGATGATGCAAGTGCTGATGTGTGGGGTGGTATGTGAGAAGGCACAATAGGTTGTTTCATTATTCTTTTATTCATGACTTTTCTGAGCGGGGCAGAGTGGATCAAATGGTGATGGTAATCGTGTCTATAGCTTGGTGTTCTGATAGTCAGGTTCTTTTTTGGATCAACTAGCCTTTTCAATAAGAGCGACGAAGGTTTAGGTAATTCAATATAAGGTTCTTTTGGTGTCATGGCAACGATAAATAAAGAAAATAAAGAGAGAGAAAAAGAGAAAGAAACAGGGAGGCTTCTTTTATATGAATACGTTAATTATGGTTGCTGTAGGGTTGTATTCATAGTCGTAGTAGCAATTGTAAATGAATTAAATGTAACACAAAAGGATTTAATGTAACACTGCTACACTGCTATTCTTGCAGTCGTGTTTCCATGTCAACCTGTCGTGATGATAGGGCCTGGTTGTCGCTTTTCTAATTTCATACCTGCCTGTTTCATTGAGGGATAGCAATCCTTAGGAGAGGAATTACGGGCAACAATGAGCGATGGTCAAGAACATGTTGGGCTCCTGATCCTCGCTGATGATTCTGGTTTATGTCGAGTGATTGATTGAAGCACGATTATACAAGTAATTTAGTACTAGGTTGAATAGTCTAGAGCGTTAATTACCTTGACATAAATGTTACTAAATTGTAGTCAAGTGGTCGACTTTGAGATAATCTCAAATGATTATATCAATAATAAATGATCTTGATTATACCTTTTTCCTAGTCAATTCATTCATTTGTAAAGACAAGTAAAGAAGAACAAGTTAAAGAAGGAAATATGACAATCATTCTTTCCAAAAACGATAAAGTCCTATCATCACGATAATTTAAACAAGGTAATCCTTCCCCATCTATTTTAAGATTTATTTATTCCTCAAAAATAGAACAAAGGGACGTTTATATAAAAGGGATAATATAATCAATACGTATATTGACTAAAATATAGACTAATTACTATTATTAAATGGGATAAAGATTTACGTGTAATGTATCATATCAATGTGAGATAGACTCAATTTAATCTTTGTGCTTTTCCATTTTGGTAGAGAGAATCAAAAGCCTATTTTCCTTTTTAGTTTATTAAATAAGAAAAACGTGGAAATGAGGATCAATGCTAAAAATATCAATAAATTCATCAAGAACAGCGCGCACATTGATAAGCAGTCAATAAAGAAATATTCTTTGTATTTAATGACTTTAGTCTTTATTACACAAATGCAGATCATCTAGACTATTTTGTTCTTTGTATCAGGGCATCACATACAGTTAAGCTCACCGTGCTGTCTTTGATACCTTCTGTTTCAATATCGTCTTTTTCAGGCAAGGCACAAATACACTTTTGCTGCCACAAAAGCTCTTTTTGCATTAGGATTGACTTTTGTGATAATAAATAATACATGTCTGTAGCTTATTGGCCGCAAAGTCTGGAAGCATTTTTTTGAAAAAAAAAGTACCATTTCTAACTCAAAATAGAGTCTATTCTCTTTCTTGAACAGCAGTAGTAAAGTCGTTGTGAAGAGCATTTTTTCATTAAATATCTATTAAGAACTTAAATGGCTGGTAGAAATGAATAATTCTACCAATATTGTCAGGCAAAACGGCTGCTTTCTGCTACCGCATCTTTAATTGTTGTAGTAAAACGTGGTAACCAATTGCATATGAAAGCATAGTGAATGTTGCACAAGTAGATGGCTCTGTTAAAGAAGTGAACCTGTGTATACTATCAAGGCGTTGATAACCGCAAATGAGCTGCAGCTGTATGCGATATCACATGAATTCAAAAAGGACCAGATAAAGACATAGAATATAAGACAGAATATAATGAAAAGCTCAAAGTGATCTGCTGGAGTACTTGTGAAAGTTATGCGGAACATCAAACTCTAAAGCTAATGTACAACAGAAGCTAGCATTGGGGATCAAGCTTTATCCTATACCTTATGCCTTACTAATATCCTACTAACCTGAAGCCAAAAAAAAAAACTGTCCATACATACCACAACTGTTTTTCATTGAAAAGCCTTGTTTGTAAAGATAATTGACTCTATTAGCCATGGTCGACAACTGTCATGCATATTTAAGAAGACACGTCTGTATACTTCGCAGAAGAGATTCAAATCATATGCCAGTTTACTTTTTGATTATACAGCATATCAAATGATGTTTTACATTTTCAAATAAAACTATATCCTTAATCATGAAGGTATTGGTTTACGCGATAGAGAGCTTTATTTTCATGACTCTTTAAACTATTCTTTTCTCGTGTAACTTTATAAGCATATTGGCATATTTTCTTATTCAGTAAAGCAGAATGAAAATATTGCTTCCATATCTTCTACTGTCCTGGGTAAAATAGAATCAGGATCCTCGTACCCATTCTTTGGATCTTGGACTGCTTTACTAATTTCACTGTAGGTATCCAATAGTAGACGAATAGCTGCGGACTGAACATGCTGATAATGTTGTGCTGAAGCTAGTTTGTCTAAACGAGGAGACACGTCTGCACTCAAAATAACTAAAGACGAGTCAAGTTTAGACAAAGCATTGGTTAGTGACACGGTATCCATGTCAGGTAAAGATGACAATGGAATCTATAGGAAAAAAAAAAGTTTGAATAACCTATGAGGCGATGAACAAACAACTTACCTCAGGGTCCTTATTAGCCAGAGTTTCTTTAATCTCAGCCAACTTTGCTTGGCTTAGTAATGAATTATACTACAAACATGTTTACATTCAATAAGAACTGGATAGTATTTTTTTTTTTTTTTACCTCTTCCATTGCGATGTCATTTAAAATATCATTCAGCCGCACAGAAATACTCTCTCTTTTGGCCTCTGTAAATGAATAAGGGAATAGAACATTCTGTTTGAAAGATGGATAAGCCAGATATTTTTGTATCTCTTTTTTGTTATTTACTTGTATATAATGCAAGCAGTTGACTAAGTATATATGCTGGTCTATAGGTTTCAATTCAACTACAGATAATTCACAGGTATGCAACAAAGGTTCTATTATAGCATCTAAAATTTCAGAAAAGCTGTATTCAGGAACGTTGTCTGTGTTGTTTGTAACTACGATAAGAGAAGAGTCATATGAAGCAAGAATTTCTTTCTATCAAGATGTTATTGTAATGCATCTTTTTTTTTTTTTAACCTACCAGTTGTGTTATCATCCCCCTAACGGTTGGTGTAATGGCCAAGTTTCTACCTGGAGGCTATAATAAATGCTCAATGTCAGAGATAATGCATGAAGACGGTGTATAAAAATAAAGTAATCACCTCTGTATATTCTCTTAATCTTTCTGCTTGGGCATTTAGGGTTTGAAAGAAATGCTTATAGGCCAAGCCTGTCATTCTTAGAAAAAAGTATAAGATAACGGTGGCTACAATTGTATAAGCATACGTACTCATGTAACACTCTTTCTAAACTTGCGTCCTTTCTCATCAACTTTCTAAGGGTGACTGAGTAAAATTGAACCAGGTTGGCCAATCTATACGATGTTATAGCATTTGGCTGAAGTACAAGTACTTGTTCTATTCGTGACTTTAATGGTCTGCAAGTTCCTTCCATAGCACATTCCAAAAGATCATCGACAGTATCGGATACTTGAACAATTACTCCAGTAGTATCTTGGTATTTTTCATTGTTCTTTTGAAATAAACTCTCAAGCATTTCTTTTTCTCCTGCACAAGCTTGATGGACCCAAGCAAGCATGTCACCTACATATCGAAGAGGATCTGGTGCCTGGAGCTCTATTGGCCTTGGTGTGCCGCCAGGGCCTCCTCTTGTCAATGCGTTCAAGAAAGCACGTGCTACCGCATCATGCCTTGCTGCTGCAAGCTCATCCAAAATCGTTCTAAAGAAAAAAAAGAAGTCAATCTTGAATATACATTGATTATGTCTATCTTTTTCTTTACTGGAATAAAACTGGTCTTCGCATAAGTGCTTTGAGAGCCTTTGCCATTAAGGCGCTCACATCAATAATATCTCCTCCAAATGCCAGTCTGCTTTCATACTGTGTCCATTTGTATAGTTTATCATAGGCATTCTCTTGATATTGTGCCAGAGAATCCATTATTTCTCGACTAACATTTAAAATATGAAAAAAAAGGCTCCCTTCATCCTATAAATGCTTTACCCTGCTTTCTGATTTTTTGTTGTCAACAGTAACTGACAGTCTTTATGTATCTGCTGAAGATGATCCAACGCTACAAAGAATTCATCATTGACCGGTTCTGACGGGGTGTTCAATATACTGATTTCTTGTTCACTCAAGGAGAACTTCTCTATAAACTTGTCAATGATCGCGATCTGATCGGAATAAGCAGAGCTGAAGAGCGATATATTAGTCTATTTCAATACAAGCTGTCCTTATTTACCTCTGTTCCTGCATGATATTTGCTTGCTCTATGACTTCTGTTGTTTCTGACTCAGCCCTTGACAACTGCTGTTTCATAATAGTACAAGTATCCTGCATTCTTTTGGCTTGACTTTGTAGTTTATCAAATTGCTAAGTTGCTTGTTTTCTAAGTATAACCTTTTCACGCCTTTCTTATATTTGTGTGTAATTACCATAACAACTTTTCCAAAAGTCTCGAGAAACTTTTTATTGGTTTCCACTTCTTTTTTCTCAATCGTTCCACGTAAATTACGTCTTAAGCTTGCTTCATCTAAGCCTGGAATATCTGAGAGTGATGTCAAAGCTAGTTTAGTTCTAGTGTCATCTACTGTTGATGAATTCAAAATTTTGTTTAGTTTGGAAGCAATTGACTTGTTTGGTTTATTTGATATAGATAAAGTAGGTCCATCTTCTGCAGTAGGCGTTCGCTGTGGTGACTCCATTAGAAACACTTACACACATACACACCTACTGGCACTCACACGCGTATCAAATTGATTCAAAAAATAGTGGCGCTACTTGAATTTCATGTCACCCAATAGAAATATCAGACAATATCGATCAAGTTACATTCGAGTTTATTACGTACATGGACATCAATTTATCAATACATCACAGTCTCAAGTTGCAAAATATCCCATGATTTTTTTTATATAAGCTGAGTAAGGAAGGGGACATGTTCAGTTATACAGTATTATTTTTACATCCCTTAAACAGCTTGTGTGGCTTATGGTTGACTTTGTCAATTTCCATTTTTGTCAAAATTAGGAAAGGGAAACTTTAAGACGCGTTTAGTGTTTTTTTTATTATCATTCGTTCCTTTTGGAAATGACAACTTTATCAGCAAATGATATTCTATTAAAACTGAAGAACTATCAGAGCTGTAATGACGAATTAGCCATGACAGTTAGAAAGACTGTACTGGAACCCTTTCAACTTGATCTATCACGACCTGAAACGATCAAACCTTCTCCAAGCCCACAAGCGTTTAAGCAAATGGCTACCAAATTAGCACCATTTGCTTTACGTATAGTCAACCAAAACTTGGAAACCTTGACTCGATTAAAAAAAGAAAAGCCAGATAAAGTAATATATACAGTCGTCGTGAACTGTTTGGTCGATTCTTCATTTTATGCATTGTCTGCTTTACGACATATGAATCCTCTGACAACTTTGAAACCATTATCCATCGAGAAGACAACTTCAAACATTATTACAAAAATAGTTGAATTAGGAGAAGTAAAGGCATTCTTTTTCACTTTTTTCATTATTAACATCTTTCACAGCACGGTAGAGCCTTACATGAACTTACGAAATTTCGAGTGCTACTAGCAAGCATCATGAAAGTTACGTTAGAAAATAATAAAAGCAGCCAAAATGATGGAAAGGCAGTCAAAGCAGGACCTTCCGCCACAGGATTATCAAGTGCTCTAAGAGATTCTTCAAACACAACTGCTCAGAGTCTATCATCCGACACTGTGCCAGCAAACATTATAAACAGTCAGTGGGAGAAAGACATGTTGAACAAGTATGACCGCTTATTCCAATTTCCTTTGGATAACACCATCAATGATCGTACAATGATACTTTTGATTTTGGCATATCAAATGAACGCTGTTTTATGTTTTTGTGAGGCAAAGGATGGATCTATAGCAAAGGTACAAGATATCAAGTTTGTCGAGTGCTTGGCTTACAATATCTTTTTTTTTTTTCTAGTTTATTCCATACTTGTTTGAAAAACCCGGCAACTTTCTGGATTGGTCGCGACAACTATTTTTAGTAGATGATATGATTGCTGAGCGACAATTGGACGCATTGAGGAAAACACTCATGAGAGTGATTAAAAGATACCCTGTGAATGGTAAGCAGGCTATGACTGATACAACCTATGACTAACAACATGATTAGAAGAAAATTCTTTATATATATACTCTTTGCAATGTCTAGCGCTCAAAACTTATTTGGTGCATAAACCAAGACACCTAAAGCTGGTGTTGGAGCAACTCGTACGATACAGCTATGTCTATGAACAGACTGCTACCTCAAGTAAGACAACATTAAGAATGTTTGAACAAGGTTGACTTATAACAACTAAAGCATCGCTCTCATACTCGTATATCCAAAAGCAATGTGAACTCTTTTTACAGCGCTATGAGCCATATGTAGATGATATTCCAGGACTGAGTGCATATTTCGCACTATGCAACTTTTATGCTTATGTTTCTCGAAAATCAAAAAGCTTTAAAGGAGGTTTATACGCATACAAGCAAATGATCCAACCTCTAGATGAAGTGATCTTTGACAAGGATAAACAGAATTATTATTGTGCAGCCTATGCAACAATGTCAAAGTTATCAGTAGCATCGTTACAAATGGATAAAATGGTCGATGATGATACATGTAAAGGTTTTATGCACTTAATATAAAGAATACACTAATGGATTTGATTTAGTTGTTGATATAATCAAAACTCTTGAAGAAGCAGAAACATACTTAAAAATATCATTATCCACATCTAATGCAGTTCAATCACAAGATCAGTATGCAGCACAGGCTCTTGTTGATTTATGTAAAAGCATAGACAGCTTTAGACAAAATGCTAGAAAAGTCTATGAATTTGCTCTGGAAAAGGCTCTACAGGAATTAAAGACAGCTGCTGAGGATCCTTTCAGGACACCACCAAGAGCTGGAGAGTTTGCCACACCAAATAATTTTGGAAAATGGAATACGATTATACCCCAGTTGAAAAAAGTACTTCAGCTCTGTATAGAATGTACCTCAGATGGTATTCGCATGATAAAATCAAAGGTAAATGGACACACGTCAGCTTTGGACATATAGCAATGACACTTGTTTTTTATAGTTTGATACACTCAGACAAAAGTTCCAAATGGATAAAATTATTACTGCCTTTGTAGAAAGCATTGTCTTGTTGGCACGTATGCAGTTTAAAGTTGAAGAGACACAGACACACTATCAAGCATTTGAACTTCTTAGAAAAGCCGAAGATCAATGCATAAATATGAAATTTAGTAGTGGATATAAATTGATATCTGGATCCTATTACAGCATGGGTGTTTCTATGATCAAGGCCGACATGTACTTCAATGCCATTCTTCCTATAAGAAAGTCGTGTGTTTTGTTAGAAAAATGCGTTAAAAGTGATATAAATGATCAAAACAAGCTAGAACTCTGCAAAAGATATGAAATTCTAGGAACTTGCTGCGTCAAGGATAGAAATTATAAGGATGCTATTGTGGCCTATAAGCTTGGATTGAGACAGGTACCTACTTCAGAGATAAGGGCCTTTGTTAAACAAGGGGAGACAACTGCAGTTTCTGCTATCATGGGGAATGACTGCATAATGCGTAAATTGATGGATAGATTTTTGCGTATCTCTGTTATTGATCCCGAGCAAGACTCGATCACTTTTGCAAGTGAACATTTAAATCTATCGGATTTCAATCCTGCTCAGCAATGCATTGTTTATGAGTGCGAATTAAAGATTTGGAATGTTATAGCACTAAAGATAAAGCTTAGTCGATTTCAACTGTTTATTATCGAAAAGCTTCTTGAAGTTTACAAGCCTGATGAATATCCTATTCGCAGAGCAAGGTACGTGTCATATATGCCACATTAAACATCATTCATCTTATGGTATCTATCAAGGATACTGTTGGAGCAAGCCAGGATTGAAAGAACTCCTGATAATATCTCTGTCGAATCTTTAAGAAAGTCTCTCAAGTGTGCCTCGGAAGCATATGAATTACTTAAAAAAACGGTAATCATCATCTTCAAATAAGCAATCAATGCTTATCTTTTCATTATTCCTGTAGGAATACGCCAACGATAGCCATCTCTTATACTATCGTCGATATTACCTTGCTTTGGCAATCTCATGGATAGCTTTATGCAGTCATGAGTTAAAGCAACCTACATCTGTTTCATTTGCTCATGCAATCCACCATTGGGCCACACTACTTCAGAAAATCAAACCCATCTATGAACACTGTAAGTACAATAACAAACGCAGGGCATATAGAGCAATAACTTGACATTATATAGCACCCACTTCAGAGGCAGAAAAACAGCAGATCTACAAAGAAATTGATGATGTTAATAGACTATACGCTCATCTTCAAATGCTATCAGACTTGTTTAGTATTAATGGACAGTATACTTTCCAAATTAATATTCTTCGTCTCTTGTTGAAACTAAACAATGGATTCCGAAATGAAAAGGATGACTCTGTATCAGGTATTTCCAGTACTTTAACATATACGATGATGATGTTGACTGGTCTTTTAAACAGATTCAATCATGATAACTTGTGACATTGCAAAAATATACATGAACTTAGGCTACACTGGTAAAGCGCTTGGTGAAATAGAAGAAGCTAAGGAGGCCATATCACGATACAGATGCTCTGCATATGCCGAGTTAACATATCTCCTAACCTATTCACAATACCTTGCAAGTATCCGCAAATATAATGAAAGGTACACACATTCTATCTTGTATGATTTATACAGGGCCTAATACCCATTTTTTTATAATATAGTAAAGACGCCTATAGTAAAGCAAGGCTTACATGGGCATACCGTGCTTCGAATGAAACTAGAAACACACAGCAGACATGCAAGCAACTTGTAACTAAGTCTCTTATTTTATCAGAAGCGCATTTTACCAAATGTATGCTGCCTTCAAATACTTCAGATAATGCAATCAATGGATGTACTGCTGCTTTACAAATACTAGATAGATGTCTTAAAACATTGAACAGTTCAGGATCCTCTGAGGCTAAGCCGCTGTCTGATCCATTCTCTAACGATACTGAGAGAAGAGAGCGTGAGGAGAAACTATCCATCAAAGATTCTCAATGGAGAATAGCTCAAAAAATGGGAAAGTACATGGAAACTATATCTAATCTATACATGACAAAAGGATCATGGAATGAAGCTAAATACTATGTTGTTCAAGGAATCAGTCTCTCCCAAAGAGTACAATCCAAGTCAATGCTCTGTCAAGCATTTCTCTGCTCAAGTGACTTTAATTTACGCTATGGCAACCTAGAAGAATCACAGAAAGACATTGAACGAGCAATACAATGCAGATTTAGTGTTAGTTCTACTAATATCGTATTTACTACTAAAATTTAATAACACTTCTATCAATAGAGTCGTAATAGTCTTGACCAAATCCAGATATACACTGCCACAGCAAGCTTATCCATTGCAAATAAAATGTATGAAGAGGCTATCCAAATGTATGATGAGGCAAATAAGTCTCTGGATGCTTTATCAAACCCAAAACACGTTGCTTCTCTTGAAAAGATTGGCGATAAAAATCTAACTGACAGTACGGATTATATGGATAGTAAGTGTTATCATTCATTTACTACAACTCCATATTCATCCATCATTTTAGTCGACATGGCGCATTCATATAGTCCTTTACAACGTATGAAAAGCAATAATATTATACAGAAAGGTAAAGTATAGCCATTTATCAAACTGAATGTATGCTCATCCTTGTTTTTTCTTTTTTCTTTATAGCTGCAATATATTATCATAAGAATGCTCCTATGGATGGTATATCTATGCTTGAAGATCTTAAAGACTCGGGTCTAGAATATGACGAGGTATGTAGGCTTATTCAAGTAGCTAATAAGCTAAATACATGTTTAGTTTCTATATAATGCAACAATGGGTCACTTAAAGTTGGAATGCATACTTGCAGAGCTAACAAAGTATGATGGTCTGAAGCAGGAAGATATTAAATCCTTACCAATCATGAGCTACACATCAAAACAAACACGAACCTCAACAAGTGAAAGAACAACAAATCATCTTCACACACTATGGAACGAACTAGCTGACTGCTTAGCGCAAATAACAGATGCATTTCAGACTGGAGTAACCCGAGAGCGAGTTATGGCGATTCATAGGACTTGTAATGATGCTGGCCTCGCTGCATTTCTTAAGACTCAAGTTGAAGCCAAGATACAACAGTTGGCGAATAGAAATGCATTACTAAGTGCTTATTACCTGGAAATGGCAAAAGGCATTCACATTCGCAGACTTACTCGCAGTTCTCTAAGCGAAAAGCTACAAAAACTTAATGGTTATCTACCTTCCTTGGATGATTGGCCGGCAGATGATCACGAGAGCAGCGGTAATCATCCTCGTCTGAATGCTGCCACGCTTATGCCAAAGTGGTTACAATCCCACATTACGACTCTTTTAGAGCAATACGACAGAGATCATTTGTTAGATGATGCCCAATTTCAGCAACAGTATGTGGACATCATTCCTTCCAACTGGACCGTATGCTCGTTAACCCTTGATCCAACTCATAATGACCTATACGCCGTTCAAATGCGAGCTGGAGAATCGCCATTTATTCTCAAACTTCCACTTAATAGGATAGTTAAACGATGCAAGGGCGAGCAAAATGAGTGCGTTGAATATCAAGAAGTGGATACTGAAATGAAAAGCATTGTTCAAGAAAGTGATGAAACAATTCAGTACAGCTCTCAATGCAAGACCCCAGAAGCTGTGCGTGAGTGGTGGACCAAACGACACTCTTTGGATACTCGATTGAAGAACCTGCTTTACAGAGTTGAAGGATGGTTTGGTGGCTTCAAAGGGATTCTGTGTGGTCAACGTATGGAATCAAGCAGTCAGATAAAGAAGTTTCAAGAAGGGTTGGACAAGCTTATTCATAAAGTTGTGATGAAGTCAGCAAACAAGAAAGCAAAGATTGAATTTAGTCTTCAACTTTGCCGCATCATACTACAATTAGGAGAATCACCTAGTAATAGGGAATTAGAAGATGTTGCTTGTTTTACATTATCTTGTTATGACGATTGCTTGATTGACATAGACTCAAGCAGAACCAACGTAGACGAGGCAAGTATAAGTAGCGGCAAAAATTATTGTGTATATTGCTCACTCGTATTTTACTTAATAGGTGACAAAGGGCCTTCACAGCCTTATAACAGCCTATCATGAAAATGCAAAGCGTAATGGTATTGATACGAGCAGTAATAAGCGTAATGATCATGTCATTCTCATACTTGACAAGTACATGCAAATACTCCCTCTGGAAAGCTTACCGATCTTACGTAAACAGGCCACCTCCCGTTTACCCTGCTTGTCATTTTTGCGAGATCGTATTCTGTATGCTAAATCAAAGAAACTGGGCGATATTTCTATAGTTAGTGACGAAAACAATGCAGGGAATAATATATCTGTTTCAGGACAGAGTGTATATTATGTGTTGAACCCCTCTGGTGACTTGCTAGATACACAAAAGCAATTTGAAAAACTGTTTAAAAGGTAGACTTGTGTACATGTGCAAAATCAGGACAGTATTAACAGCATATTGATTTAGCAATCAAAACTGGAATGGTATAGCAGGAGCTGCTCCTATGGAGTTACAATGTAAAGATGCCCTTTTATCCAAAGACATTTACATGTAAGTTTACATTCAGAAAGACTGAGGGAGGCCATTGATTAAATTGTTGTATTTTATAGGTACTTTGGTCACAGTGCTGGACAAAGCTTCTTACGAGGGACGACTGTAAGAAGCCTTCCCAGATGTGCCGTTTCAATTCTTATGGGCTGCAGTAGTGGTAAAATGGAATCAAATGGAGAATATGACCCTCATGGTTATATTTTGAACTATCTGATTGCTGGAAGCCCAGCAGTGCTTGGTAACTTGTGGGATGTGACGGACCGAAGCATTGATAACATCACCAGGCATATGCTACAAGCTTGGGGCGCTATTGGTAAAAACCAAGGAAGGAGCCAAGAGAAGTCATTGGTGCAGGCTCTTACGGAGTCAAGGGACCAGTGTAATCTTCAGTATCTGATTGGAGCAGCACCTGTAGTGTATGGTGTTCCTATATACCTAGAATAATTTTTTTATTCATCACAATTGCGCTAAAAGCCTTAAAAATAAAATAAAATAGTAGCTTTCTCAGCCCAATGCACTATTTATTACTGTACGAATCTCGATAAGATTTATTTCACAAAAGACATCAATACATAGCATCAAATACTCTTACGGCAATAACAATGAGATATATTATCTTTCATTCTGTTTATGATTTTATTAAATATAATTACAATACAAAGCACGATACAAGGAGAAGGGACTTTAACCGTTCCCGTTTACCCAGTTTCCAGTTTCACAAGTCTGTTTTTTTTTTTTTCTGAGATATTTTTTAACATATTTCTTCTAGCGCACAACAGAAACACATTGCTAGTAAACTATGCAAAAGAGAGGAAAGACATGAATATGTGTTGTTGCCTATACAGATTAAAATATACTTACCATCCCCAACAGCATGAATGATCTTCCTTAGGAGGCTGTTGCTGTACTACAATTGTCTGTGGTGGTGGGCTATAATATTTCCCCTTGAAAGTTAATAAAGAGCCTTAATAATCAACATAATATATATATTTACGCTGGTTGATAATATCCTCCTTGTTGAGGCGGTGGGTAATAGCCTCCTTGTTGTGGGGGAGAGGCGTAGTATTGTCCTTGATTATTATTCATAGTATGTATATATTATGTGTATAAAAACAAAAAAGAATAAAATAAAAATCGATGCTATTTATATTCCACTAGCCACACAGGCACCACTTTTGCATTACAGCAAAATTTGTGTTTCCGCCAAGAAATCGTTCTTTTTGGCTGTAATTCCGGATTTATCATGAATCATCTTATTACATTGCAGCTCTACGATTAAAGAGAGAATTGTTTTTTATTTTTTTTATTTATACCCAATTGGGGCGCATGATAGTTTCAGATCAATCATGTAAGGAGACTAAAAGCCCCTTCTGGGCGCAAAGAGTGAAAATGTTGAGGGCTTTAAGAAAGGTTAAACTTGTAAAGTATATCGAATCGCACTGCTTGAAAAACAATATCGATACCAAAGAGAAGACAGGCTTAACTAATTCGCTTTATGTTACTTTCAAGGATTTAAATCTCTCTCTTTCTTTCTTTTCATACATCTGCAAAATAATAATGATTTGGATATATTGATGTGCAGGCTTATTTGGACGACGATCTGATTTTATACAGAAAGCCCACTTTCACTATTACAAATAGCCACAACAGGTACACCTCTTACCAATGATACCAACAAGCAACACACCTAGTGGAAAAAGAAGCAATTCTCTATGCTTGCCAGAAATAAACCTGTGACGAACGTGAACAGAACAGAGCAACCCTCATTATCGATAACTTGATGTCAGGCCCATTTGTCCAGTATCATGTTTATATTCTATACACTTCATACGTATGTTATTCTTATATAACGCAACATGCCTCAATTCTCATTGATCTTGACTAATGCACTTAATAACCCTATTTGTATATAAAATGACGCTGTTTGTAATAATGGGCTTTCTCTTTCTTTCGCCTTATTTATAATAAAGAGGTTATACAGAAACTCATTGACATACGTCTACATTTATTATTATTTTGACTACATCGCAGCGAATATATTATACTTGTTTATAGCAATTTTATAAAGAGTCTAACCTCTAAACATTCATCCATTCAACCCGTTGTGTCGATGAAACGACAGTATCAGCACCTATGTGTATCAATTGCAGTCTCAAAATAGATGCAGACCTCCAGGGAGTTGTCTGCTACATCTACTTACGTGTCATTGCCGAAACAACGAAAATGCATACTTCTGACGGATGAAATGCATGAATTGAATGAGACACAACAATACTACGAGAAACATTGAGATCTACAAAATATTGCGTCAAACTTTCTTCCGCTTCAGTTAAAACAGCAAAAGACTCTCCTCTCTTCAAGAGTACGACGGCGACCTGATTTTTTCTTTTCGTAAATGCTTTCAGGACCCGTGACAATAGCGTTTGACCCGCCTCTGGGCTGCGCGAATGTGAATTCTTAACCATCTCGCAGCAGCAGAAGCACTTGGACTTTTACTAAAAAAAAAAAAAAGCCTAGTTTTCTTGTCATTAGAATACAATGCGTATGTCCTCATTTTATTCATCTGCGACTAAATATATTGTAAAGATAGGTCTTTTTGGAGGCTTCTTATCAACAAGATCTATCGGTTCATCAACAAAATGCCCCTGAGCACTTTTTTAAAGAAACAATATGCCCATGTTCAATGCCTGTAACAGGAACTGTAATTGGAAGCGGTAATTTAAGTGGCAAGCTCAATACACTAAATGTCATAAAAGGAGTGAGACAAAAAGGGAATAGGTCGCTTCCAAGGATGATATTTCTTATGAATACAATGAACAGTGTAACACAGCTAACACGAGTATTGCTGTTTATGGAACTAGTATTCAATCGGTCAAAGAGGGAAAAAAAGCCATAAAACAAGGAGAAAAAAAAAAGTTGGCTTAATTGCACAGATAAGCCAGGGCAAAAACAATTCAAAAATAGCTTCTTATTGCTAAATGCAGGGACAATCACAAAAGAATAAAATGTGGTTGTATAGAAACAAATAAATCAAATGCTTAGTCGATTTTGATTGTATCAATGAAAGAGATCTATGGCTTCTTTTAATTACATGCGACGCTCTCTCTTCTCCTACATTTCTTTATTTGCCTTATAAAAACTAGCTTCTCCTTTTTTTTGTCTGTTTCTCTCTCTCTTTTCTCTAATTCTTGTTTTCCTTTTTTTTTAACAATGGGGTTTATTGAAAAGTTACGCACACAGTATGAGTTGCATCAAGTGAATAAATATACAAGAAGAAGAGAAACACAGTCAGACTTTGAATTTAAAAATAAAGACTATTACAAGGCTAATTATCAAAATGGGATTTATATCTCGGCGCCACAGAAGATCTACTTATGGACTGCCACCGTGTGTTATTTAAAAAAGGCTAAAAAGAGAAAATCAATCGCGCTCGAACAGAACAAGACATCCGAATCATATACAAATTTATAATAAAATGTGTAAAAATAATTATTTAATCTAAAAATAGCAATCTTTGATTGAAGAAATGACTACATTCACATCGCCCTGCAGATTATTTGCAGTTTGAGGTTGTCATACAGATGAATGTTATAGCTTTAAGATGAAAGAAAGAGAGAGAGAGAGAGCTTATTATTACAAGCAGGGTTATTAAGTGAATCAATCATGACCAACGAGACTTATGCATGGCGCATTATATCAGAATAATGCATTTTATGGGCAGTCTTTTTGTGATATTAACACTTATTTTTGTACTGCACTTTGTCATTATGTATTAAGGGTCTATTCGTTAAATTACTGAATCAATACTAATAAGGATTTCCAGTTGAAAAGATCTTCTTCAAAAGACAAGTCAGTAATCAGTATATACAGGCACTTTCCTAGTATGAACTGATGATTCTTGAATTAGTGCTTCTTTAGCTTTACTATTGAATACAATTTATTCATAAATATGTAGGATAAAAAAAGCACAATTTAAGAGTATATCTGATAGTTATAGATTAGTAGGAGGAGGAGGAGCATTTTCCATCTGAGTTGGTTGTCTCTTCCAAATGATATCTATTTCACGTTCATCCAATAATCTCTTTAACGTCGTCTCCCAAGCATCTATTTCTTTATCTTGAACATTTCCTCCCATCTCTAACAATTGGAGCTTCGGTACTCCATCCTTGAGTAATACATCTACCATGGCTTCTAAATCTTGATGAACGATTTGGTTACAGCCAATGTCAAGATGCTTAATACCACTCTCTCTTAATGCTGGTAGTGACTCAGAGCTTTCACCAAATCCACCGATGACATTTCCAAACAAGCCCAGGTACTCTAAGTTCGTATCCAGCAATATTCCAAAACCTTTGGCCTGAATGGCATTCTCTCCCAGCTCTAGATGGCGAAGGTTATTCGTTGTGCCCTTAGCAAGAAGGGCAGCGCCTTCATCATCAATTTGATTCTGACGAAGTTTTAGTTCTTGCACCCCGGATTCTGATAGATAACACGATAAAAGCTGGAGTGCGCTTGATTCGATACTGTTGTTATCCAAGCATATATGTGTAAGTGTTTTGTTTGTAGCCAGTGCCTGACCAAGAGCAATTACCAGTGCATTACCGTGTATTGTTCTCGCAGGATCGTTCTTTCTTATGTCTTCTTCTGTTAGCTTGCCTTCTGTTTGTTCCATAGCTGGTGGAGGTAAGCTTATCTCCTCTTCCATATCAGACACCACGTCCATCATCTTCAGTTTACGGATATGCTTATTATGGGCCAAAGCAGAAACTAACACGGCTGCACCGCTCAGCAATGGATTGTCTGATAGATCAAGATCCTCTAGTCTACTATCGTTATTATTGATCACTTGTGAAAGACTGTCTGCACCTTCGGGTCCAATCTTATTCATGGCCAAACTGACACGTAAAAGCTTTGTGAGCACAGGTGAAAGAGCTCTGATGGCTCTGTCGTCTAATCCATTTCTTGCCAAGTTGATTTCTTTTAGACAACTATTTTTGGCTAAGCTGTCTGCCAGTAACTGTACTGCTTTATATTGATCGTCTGTGTTTGACAACAATCCCTTATTTTCTAAATCAAGCTTGATCAGTCCTTCATTAGCGGCCAATCCTTCACAGAATGAAGCAAAAAGGACAAGATCCTTGCCAAAGGTAGCGTTTCCAAGGTTTAGCGCTTCAAGTGTTTCATTTAGAGTTAATGCTTCGCTTAATTGATCCATGCATTCCGCATCAAGAACGTGTCCAGAAATATAAAGTTCTTTAAGTACTGTGTTGTGTGCAATCGCTTGGAAAATTCTTGCTAGATCCTTTGTTGAAAGTCGACGAAAGCTCAGAATATGGAGAGATACAAGCTTAGGATCGTTGCTTTCCAGTTGTTTTACCCACTGATCTACAGCACCGTCGTTTCCTCCCCACACCATGATTTAGTTGAGAAAAGATATCTTTTTTTTGTTCGGACTAAGTGACTTTTTTCTAAAAGGGGGAATTCCTCTGAGAGTCTTTATTTTGCTTTATGCTAATATTATTTGAACGCTCTTATCCTTGAGTGCTTTTTTGCTTAAGACATATCTTCTCGATAGCTTCTTCTTTTTTTTTAATTTTGAATATAGGATAAAATATGTACAAGAGAAAAAAAGTATATTATTCTTCTTCATCCTTTGTTTCTTGGGTAGACGATTGAACGATATTTAAGCTTCCTCTTCGGACATTGTTATCATCTATGACTTTTTCAGTTTTTGGTAGAGGACAAGACTCTGAGGTGATCACCTTGGGCTCATCATTTGAGTCTGAGGTTTGCAAAGTCCATGGTAAAGCACCCATTCTATACACTACATGAGCACAAGAGTATATACAGTGCATATATATTACATACCTTGCATAAAACATTTGTAGTCGTAAACGCATAGCTTCGTGATAAAGATCTGGTATACTTCTATTACTATATAAGCCTTGTCTTATATTTCTAATCAACACATAAAATTCACAAACAGCCACCAGTCTATCACGGCAAAATCGATCAATACATGCCCAGTCATCAAAGTAAGATATTCTAAAGCGGTAAGGTAACGCTGTACCATCGTTCCTTCCGCATGCTTGACATCCACTAAACACTGTTGTTTGATTATTACTATTACTAAATCTTTCCCACATCATTGATTTGGCTGCCGAGATCTTCAACGGGTTCTCGCTTACTAGTCTCTTGGCTTGTTCTTCTGCGAACCCTTGAGGAGCCTCTTCAATGAAGCAGCTATTTAATGCAATCGCTTCATTAACCTTGCGTGCTGACAGTCGAGAGTTTGGACCAAATCTAAGACAGGCTTCGACATCCTCTTCTTGACAGTTCTTCATGAATGGTATTGAATGAATCTTTTTAAGAGGCACCGATTTTCCTGTTTCAACAAACTCTTTAAATTCTTCCAACATGAGTGAATCAATTTCGATATGCTTTCCATTCAATGGCTGTGACATCTTTTCGGATAATAAAGCAGTAATATCCTTGACATGATCTGGTGTCTTGGGCATATCATTATTATCTTCGTTAGTATTATTTTTCATCATTTCTTCCATTCTCTTTCGTAGTTCTTTCAGTTGCATCTGCTCAGCTGCCAACCTTTCTCTTGTCTCTTGTAGTTGATTTTCCAAGTGCTTATGTGCTATTTCCAAGTTGTGTTTTTCTCTTTTTTCATTAGCAACCATACCGTTAGCTTCTTCAAATAGACGTCGTGATAAATCTTCAAGTTCACTTTCAACCATATCTTTTGAATGTTGTATTTCTGCTACCCGTTCGATTTCATCTACGTATTTGTCATTCAATAATTCCATATCGCTTTGTAATGCTTGAAACTTGGCTGTTTTATCATCTAATTCTAAGGTGACTTGCTCTAAACGACTGTTGAGTTCTTTGATAGATTCCATTTGCTCAGCAATCTTGGATTGTTCATGTTTCAATTGCTCTTCGAGTATAGCAATTTCATTTTCATGGTTATTCTTTTCGGACAACAGCTCTTCGATGATAGGTATAGTTGAACGACACAGAGCACAATATCTGATATCTTGTTTGTCAATAATCTTTTGGCAAGGGCAATCAAGATTGCTGTCTCTTGGCGTGGTAAGTGAAGTTGTTGCTGCTGGCTTTAATTGAATGATCGGAGAAGAGGAGCTCGGTGAGATGGGTAGTGATGGAGGTGGAGGAATGAACTTGGCCTCATCGGTACTTTTTGTATTATTATTATTATTATTATTATTGTTACTCGGAAGTGGTCTTTCAATAACAGCTTGTAGACTGGAATATAAGTTTGCAATTTCTTCGTCTTTTACTTTGCCATGTTGCTTTGTAGGATCCATTTTGTTATTATTGTATTATAAAAATGAACAATAATAAATAAAGAGTAAAGAGAGAAAGAGAGAAAGAGAGAAAAAACAATTTAACTCCCTAAGGCGTGCACATGAAATGAAACTACACGTGATTACAACTGGATAGGAGTGACTTGTCCCCTCCAAAGGTCCTTTATTACTCTTTGATGAATGATGTGTCTATCCACAATGTCTGCAACATGACATTGCCTAACATTTCCATACATGTGACCACCTAAACCACGTTGATGTATAATAACATTTCCAGCAAACTTATGTCCTAAAGAGAGCAAAATGAATCCTTGTTATCTAAAATAACACTTGATATTACCTCCAAAGTGACTTGTACCCCACACTTCTATTTTTCTGGTTAATCCTTTCTCTCGAATCACCCTTTCAAATTCTTCTACAATCAATGGACCAATTCGACCACATCGCATATCTCTGCGTCCATGGGTGCAGACTAAAATGAATGCATCTGCTTGCATATCGTCACACTCAACATGTTTGGGTAAACTGGAGGATGCATCTTTCCACATTGTGTCTAGAACAGGATAAAATGTCTCTAAGCGGTTAGGATCTACATCCTTGTAGATCTTGAATTCTGGAAATACGATAATGTCTGTCGTTTTAGAAGAAGCCGGTCGATTTGCAACAGTAGACAAGATGGCTTTATCATCGTGTGTAGGTTTGTTCCCTTTTAACCATCTGTTCTTTAAGTGATCTATTGAATGAATGATGCCTCCGGGGTGCGCTTCTACTTTTGCCCTCGTCCATTCTAGAGCATCAGGACCAATACACGCGACTACATGTCGTAAGCCACTAGGACGTACCATAGGTTCATGAATCTCTATTTTTCTGCCTAATACGTCAGGTATAGGATGTGCCTGACATGGTACATATCCATTTGCTGCTACTTTGGCACTATCGGGACAGCATGGTTCAAACCTTGAAAACTTGAAGGGTTTATTATCAAATGGGATGGTAGAATACAATCTTCTACGACATATGAGTGCACTGCGTAACATTTGTAAATGAAAAGATATTTCGAGTTTGATTTAAATAATAAAAGGAAGAAAGAAAAAGAATTTAACCGTGTCGCGCTTTTTCGGATAGATGTGAGTTTTTATTTCAGCAATGGATAAAGAACAATGCACTCTTTTTAAAGAGCTCTTTATGAGTCAACTAGTCAATAGAACTATACTTGTTTCTTTTGATATATGTATAAAAATCCCAGTAGAGTGTCATACTGAAAAGATATAAAAAGAAAGAGTAATGTCTACAGTCTGTGTGCTTGTTTACAAGTTCATTCTCCGTTTATCACCTCTTTTTCGCCGCCACTGAACCTCTGACAAAGATCCCTAATCTCTTTGTTGAATCTGAATTTATTAGCGAACCATGTTTCTTGTCATTTGACATTTTCTCACCTTACA